TCCAAAATAAAACTCCAATAGAAGCTTGGAGTGGACGAAAGCCATCAGCACAACATCTACGAGTCTTTGGGAGTATCTGCTACGTGCATATCCCAAAGGAAAAGAGGCACAAACTTGAGGAGAAATCCGAGAAAGGCGTATTCCTCGGCTATGCGTCTCAATCTAAAGGATACAGAATTTACATCCTTCAGACTGGTAAAATAATTATCAGTCGAGATGTTGAGTTCGATGAAAATGCTGCGTGGAACTGGGAGGAAGAAAAAGTCGAATACCAAAATATCATGGTACCTACATCACGGAGGCAAAATATCATACCAGAAGAACAAGAAGATGAAACAGAAGGTACACAATCATCTCCAACTCCACAACCTTCCAGTCCTAGAACATCATCACCATCAAGCGACGAACAGTCATCCTCAGAATCACCACCAAGAAAAGTACGAACACTCAAGGAGATCTACGAGATATGCAATTTTGCCACGATGGAACCAGAGAACTTTGAAGCAGCAGTAAAACAAAAAGAATGGGTAAAAGCCATGGAGGAAGAAATCAGGATGATCGAGAAGAATAAAACTTGGGAGTTGGTCGATTCACCAAATAACAAGGAAGTCATTGGAGTCAAATGGGTCTACAAAACAAAGCTGAATCCAGATGGCTCAATCCAAAAACATAAAGCACGACTGGTAGCTAAAGGGTACTCACAACTTCCGGGGATCGACTACAACGAGACCTTCGCTCTAGTTGCTCAACTAGATACTATAAGGGCTCTAATTGCTCTTGCAGCCCAGAAGAAATGGAAAATATACCAGCTCGATGTGAAGTCAGCATTCTTCAATGGCTATCTAGAAGAGGAGATCTATGTCGAACAACCTCAAGGGTTCGTGGCAGAAGGACAAGAAAATAAAGTCCTAAAACTAAAAAAGGCGTTTTATGGATTGAAACAAGCCCCACGAGCTTGGTACAGCCGAATTGATGACTACTTCACCAGTCATGGATTCAAAAGAAGCGAAATTGAGCCAACACTCTACATTAAGACCCAAGGTAACGACAACAAACTCATTGTTTCTCTTTATGTCGATGATCTTATTTATACATGAAACAATGAGGAGATGATTAAGGAGCTCAAAGAAGATATGATGAAGACCTTTGAGATGACTGACCTTGGGCAAATGAGCTATTTTCTCGGCATTGAGGTAACCCAAGACGAAAACGGGATATTTATCTCACAGAGGTTCATGCAAAGTCCGAGCATGCAAAGTTCGAGCCAAGTTCACTATGGAGCTGCGAAGAGAATACTGCGATATTTGCAGGGTACTAAAGACTACAGAATCAAATACGAATATAATGAAGACTCAAGACTGGTCGGCTACACAGTCAGTGACTGGGCTGGATCAACTGACGATATGAAAAGCACCTCGGGCTACACATTTTCACTTGGCTTAGGCATATTCTCGTGGTCATCTAAAAAGCAAAATTGTGTGGCACAATCATCAGCAGAAGCTGAGTACGTCGCAGCAGCACTAACAACAAGTCAAGCTATTTGGCTTAGGCGTATTCTTGGATACATGGGAGAACACCAAGAAAGTCCAACGGAGATATACTGCGACAACAAGTCAGCGATAGCAATGGCGAAAAATCCTGTACATCACAGCAGAACCAAACACATTGGTATCAAATATCACTTTTTACGTGAAGCCACAATGACAAGCAGATAGAGCTCACGTATGTCGCCACTGAAGATCAACTTGCAGATATTTTCACAAAGGCTTTACCACGACCAAGATTTGAGAGTCTACGCGAAAAATTTGGAATTATCCGAATAAGCATTAAGGGGAAGTGTTAAAAACATTTAATACTTATTCTAGAAAGTCATTAGTTAGTAGGTAGTTGTTGAAATAATTAATGAGAACCGACTTAAGGTGCTCTAGACTTTTCCTTTTGATGCTATAAATATGTATGTGTGCTCTCGGTTGAGTAATAAGACAAGACATTGAATGAAAGAAAACAATTGAATAAAAGAATCAGTCAAAATCCTTTGTTCCTATACTAGCTAAATAATCAATTCTAATTTTCCCCCATACGCATACATTATTAAAGAAAAAAGGCCATCACCATCACTTTTTATATCCTATCCAAATTCATCAACTATCCAAATCCCAACATATATAATACGAAAATTATATTGATATCAACAGTCGGCCTCGATGATTGTGACGTCGGCTGTTGTGCGGTCGGGCCATGATAGCTGTTTTCAGCCCGACAGTGGTGGTGCGAGGTCGGCCATGGCCGTAAGTTCATCCGGCAGCCGTGAGGTCAGCCTTGACGACATGAGGTCGGAGATCGGAGACGACGAGGTGGCCAGTCACGGTGGCGAGGTCCACTTGGCAGCTGCGTTTTGATAGATCCAGGCTGCGACAGACGACTTGAGGACCTTTCCGGTGGCGAGGTAAGCCCGGCAGTGAGGAGTTGGCGTCAGCCCGATGTTTGTTGTTTGTGGGGTGGTGCCGGCCTGAAGTCCGAGGTCAGCATCGGAAAATTTCAGGTCTGCTGTAACCGAGATGGCTAGTCGTGGTGGTTGTCTTCGGCCCGGAGGTGGGCGGTGCTGGTCGCCGTTCGGTGCCGGTCAGCTGTGCGGCAGTTGCTGAGGTTGGCCGGCCACTCGGTGTGACTTTTATACCTGTCTAGTGGCGTCGAGCGAGGCCGGTTCTACGATGGTGGTACTGGCAGGTTGTTGTGTAGTTGGGTCAGCCTGAATTCGGTGTTGAGCTGGCCCCGACATCAGCGAGGGGTAAAGTAAGCCCGGCGTTTACAGTGTATCGGCCCGCACTTCGACGTGGGGGACTGAGTTCGGCCGATGGTTGTCGGCTTCTTCGGCCCGGAGGTTGCTGACTGTGGAGTGTCGCCTGGTTGTGATGGTGCCGGTAGGCCGGCTGATGCAAGAGGTAGCGTTAGACCGGCATTTGCGATGCGTCGGCCCGGACTTCGGCATGGTGCGTCGGCCCAGACTTCGGCATGGGGGACTGAGTTCGGCCAATGGATGTTGGCTTATTTCGGTCCGGAAGTTGCCAATTGCGGAGTGCCGGGCTAAGCACCGTCGTTGAGCCGTTGACTGGCGTTTTTCTGAATTATGTGCTTGANTTTAATATTAGATCTGGATGCGACGTGACAGTGTTGTACTGACACTAACACAGTACCACTAACGTGGCTTAACTGTGGCCAAGTGGTGTATTATTCCAAATTTTAATGAGCAGAAAAGAAATGAAAAAACAGAAAAGAAAAGGAAAACTGAAAAAGGACGATACCTTGCGTTAATGAGCAGCAAAACCATGGTTCTAGATCTCCATGATTTTAAATCTCTTTTTACTTTTTCAATCAAAATGCAAAAGAGAGAAAATAGAATTGAGGATTTTGTGTGGGTTTTTTCTTGCTTCAAGACCCGGATACAAAGAGGAGTTCTAAATCTCCATATAGTGAAAATCATTGGTAGAAGAAAGGAAAAACATTGGATTTTTGTGATCATATTTTTTTTTAATTTTTGGGATGAACATGTATGTAGTGTTTGGAGATATGAATTCATGGAAAATGGGAGAAATTGATGTGTAGAAAATTGGGACAAAATACAAACTTGATAGAGAACATACTCCGGTGGAAATGCGGTCGTTTTCTGGTGAAAATTGATTCCGATCAAATTACGGAGCCCTTCTTCTAGCCAAACTGTTGATGTCGAAAATCGGACGATCAACCATTGAAAAGTAATCGATTTTTTTGTATGAAAAATGAAGAAAAATGTGAAGAAAATTGTGTTTTTCTCTTTTTTTTTTATTTTGAGAGGATTTTACTCTCTTTATAGTGTTATTGGGGAGGAGAGAATGAATAGTCCTCTTTTCTTTCCTAAGGCCATTTATATTTATATGACCCTTTTTTACAAGTGGGGAATAAATAAATAAAAATGAGTACACCATTATTTAATATGAGATGGTTATCGTGGGACCTGCTTATAACTCGTGACAGTTCCGGTTGACGTTCATCTTTTTGGCGATTGTGGCGTCTTTCCGCGGGCGGCTTCTTTAGGATATCTGCACCGATCGGTCACCTTGAATTCTATCCGGCTTCGTAGCGGGCAGACTCGATATCTAGAGATCCGATCAGCTTTGGGGTGACCTTTCTTGAGAACCTGTTTGTACATTCATTTATTACATATTTTTGGCCCCTTGGCTGTCGGGCTGTATTTTATTATTTAATTAATCGGAGCCAAATTGGGTTTCAACAACCCGTACTCCAACCGCCGCGATGGTTTTTTTTTTTGTTCTGACTTTTTCTGATTTATAAATAAAATTAAATAAAAAATAATAATAATAAGTATATATATAGGGGGAGTTTTAAGGAAAGAGAAGATGTTGATAGGGAGTGCAGAAGAAAAAAAATAACTTAGGGACTGACAAGGAAAGTGTTTTGTGCATTAGGGATTTTACATGAATTAACCGAAAATAATATGTGACTTTCAGTTACACAATTTATTTAACAGGTCCCAGTTTGAATGATGCATATTTCTGTAACGCCTTTTTATGTCCCGAAGTACAAGATATTCTTATTTTTTTATACTATATATTTTTTGGTATTATATATATAAATATTTCACAACTAATTAAAAATGTCTCCAAATATCTCTATTTTCTATTGCAGTCATACAATAATAAAAAATAATCTTTTGGATATTACTAAAATAAATTAAATATTTTGAAAAATCAAATTCCAGAGTCACGAGTCGAAAAGATTTAACGATAATGATTTGTTGTGATGAGGATTCTGACGATAGGAAAACTACGAATGTTAATTTAATAATATTTAGATTTACTTTTGTAAATTATTATTTTTTTATTTATTAAGTTATAATTTTTATTTTATTTTATACATTTAATTACTTTTTCTTCTATTATACCGCTTTTCGTGTAAATGCAAATGGTAAAACTAATATGATAGAAGGGGTGCAAATTCTTACAAAAAAAACTCGAATAGGGCTAAAATATGTATTTCATTATTCTTAGCCCAAAAACTCATCTCGACTCTCCCACACCCTGTCTTCCGCCTCCAAAATTCCGTATTGTTATAGTCTCTTTACTCCGACCTGAGCTGATATTTTCTCCGTACCCCTTACAAAATGAGGAAGCTCAAGTTTCACGAGAATAAACTGTTAAAGAAAGTCAATTTTTTGGAATGGAAGAGAGAAGGCGGCCAGAGGGAAAATTTTGTAATCCATCGCTATCACGTCACCGGCAGAGACGACTATAAAAAGTACTTTTTTTTTTTTTTTTTTTNTTTTTTTTTTTTTTTTTTCTCTATATCTGTTTTCTAGCTGAATTCCTTCTGAATCGTCTAACGAGCTGTTTAATTTCCTGTTTGATATGGGTTGTTTTTTTGTTTTTAGGTACTCGAGTTTGTGTAGAATGGTGCAGAAGCTAGTGAACATTCTGAAGCAGATGGATGCCAGAGATCCTTACAGAGTTGATATGACTGATGCGCTTCTTGAAAAGCTGTGAGTTTTAGAATTAGAATTCAGTTTACAACCATTTTTAATAATGCAGCCTAACCTAATTATGGGTGAATTGTTTTGTTCTGGTCTAATAGTCTGTCTAGTTCATTATGTTCCTTGTGTATATAGTTTGGGTTAGAGAACTACTTGACATAATATCAGTTTGGGATGCTACCCTTTAATGTATAACCTGGGTTATGATGTTCGGAGATTAGTGCTTTACATTACATTAAAAAAATGCTTCAGAATATTTGTACTACCTGATGTTGGTAAATATTTGTACCAGAAACTTTTGGCTCAGTATTTGGCTAATTGGACACACATACCATTTAGTTGAGGTGCTTTCTGATTGCCTAACCTTGAACATTTTTTCATTTATATGCTCGCCTGCATATTATTCATATTTTCAGGAATCTTGTGAATAATGAAGGTTTGTCATAAAGTGAAGCTCTTCTTTGTTAATATTGTTTCCTAGACCTTTTTTCTTCATTATTTTCTATGCTTGAGTTCAAATCCAAATAAGACAACTTTTGAATTTCTTGTCCTAGTCATTATTGTTATCAATTAATTGCAATGTGGAAAAGGTACAAATTTATATTTTTTTTTCTTATTTTTACGTTCCTTCCATCAATTTAGGTACAACATGGGCGTTATACCGTCTCGTAAAAGTTTAGCTTTGTGTGAGCGGTTGTCGGTATCATCTTTCTGCCGGTAAGCGAGTTGCAAAGTTTTGTTAAGTCCATTTGTTTCTAATATTGCAGCAAAACTCGAGGAATTTATATGGTGTACGGAATATGGATCCAAGTATATGTGTTTTATCATCACAGAAAGACCTAATGGAAAAGCAAATAAATAAAACTAAAAAGAAAATAGTGCTTTTTGAATTGCCGTGTTTTATTATTTGCTTCAGGCGTAGGCTTGCCACTGTTTTGGTGCGGCTGAAGTTTGCAGAGCACTTGAAAGAAGCAGTTACATATATTGAGCAGGGGCATATTCGTGTGGGACCTGATACTGTTACAGACCCTGCATTCCTTGTCACGAGGAACATGGAAGACTTCATAACATGGGTCGATACATCAAAGATAAGGAGGAAGGTCTTAGAGTACAATGACAAGTTGGATGACTATGACGCCATGAACTAATGGTTTTTACTCTCACTACCACATTTTGTGCCCTATTTCGTCCTTGAACGACATTTCATTGAGAAATATGTTTGCTTTTGAATTATTATATATGTTTTTTGTTTTCTTGGTTATGTCTTTTGCTTTTGTGTTAATTAGACTATATTACCAATGACCAGTCTTCCTTTGGATATGTTATGTGAAGTCTTCTCTCATAGTATTTTTTTACCACCATAGACCAGTCGTGTTGAGGAAGTTAACCATTAAATTCTTTAAACGAAGTCTGTTCACTTGAAATAGTAGAACTTTTGATTGAGAGCTTAAGTTTGCCGACCTTCCCTCTTGTGCACACGATGGGCACTGTTAAATATATCTATTTGTTGATGTGGTAGGAGATTAATGGACTATACTAAGACTCGGTAGTTGGTTTGAGTGTGGTTGAGTTTCTTATATGTGTTGAATGAACACATTTTACTGTGATTGGCCTTGATATAATCATTTCTCAAATTTATCGTGGGGGAGAAAAAGGTAAAAACTAAAAATAAACAAGGTAGGAACATGTTGCAGCTCAGGAATTCTGTTGATAATCCTTCAAAATATATGTAGAATGCAGTGAAGAAATTAAATTTGACAAGAAAAATACCCACAAGTGATGGAAGTAGATCACTTTATTAGGAGTATGACTCAAACTATACTTACAGACACATGACTGGACTGATAGTAGCAGAACAAATAACAACATGAAGAGGAGCTTGTTTTACGGCTTCATCTCAGCTGGCGGAACCCCGGGCCCCGGGAATCCGGGAAAGGGCGGTAGAGGGAATGGAAAGACGGGCGGTGGAGGTGGCGGCGGTGATGGCGTAAGGCCCGGAACTGGCGGCAGCTGAAAAAACGGCGGCGAAGGCGGTGTAGGGAAAATTGGCGGGAAAATCGAAGGAGGTGGATTTGGAAAGATTGGCGGGATTACAGAAGGTGGTGGCTGGAAAGGGTTTGGCGGGAAAATGCTCGGTGGATTGAATGGGAACGGAAAAGATTCTGGTAGATTTACTCGATTATTGTCTGATAGTTCTGTTTTAAGCATTTTCGGGGGCAGAAATGGAATTTGTGGGAGTGGCGGCAGCTGGGGGAGCTCTGGCAATGGCGGGAGGAGGCTGCCAGTGGCCGGAGGGTCTTGAATTGGAGGTAAGAAAGCAGGGTCATTAGGGTTTGAAATTGGTGATATTTTGTTTTGGTTTGTATGGATGCTTGGCTTCTGGTCACAAACTGCAGGCTGGTTAAAGGGCTTGAATGTGAAGAAGCCGGCGGAGTAAATGTGGGTTTTCTGTGTCCTTGATTTTTGATGGAGGGTGGATGACGTGGTGGCGCTGGCTGCTATGGAGCAGTATGGTTTGTTGCTGCTGATGAGTTTTACAGTGCAGGTTTTGATTTTCTTGACGTGCTTGCTGACAGGGAAAGGGAGTTTGACTTTGAACTCTCCGTGGATGTCTGTTTTGACTTGCTGTTTGAAGCTTGGGTTTGAGCTTTTGTCCTTGCATTCCACTGCAACAGATGCACCTGTTTGTTGGGACAAAGGAGGATATTTGGATTGGAACCATGAGAGATTTGGGTAATTTTTCTAACTTGTGAAAATATAGTTCTATCTCATGTGGTTTGTGTTTTTGTGTCGAAAAGGGGATGACTTTGAAGTTTTGTCTATCCAAGTTATCGATAGAAATGATAAAACTTGAATTTGAGTTTAGTGCAAGCAATTGTATATGAATATGTGTGTGCTTAAACACGATTTGGCTACAAATACCTTGAATGAAGTGGATGGCCTTGGGAATATTCTGCTGAAAGCATGTGTTACAAAACACAGTGCCCACAACCACAGCTGATGATGGTTTCTTGTGATGCTTAGCCTCCGTACAGTTACTACTAAATGCAAAAGTGAGAAATAATATTGTCCAAAACCAAGACATCGTGGTGAAAACTCTGAAAAGAGAAAAACAGATGAAAGAATGATAAAAAGCGACACTCTTTTAAGTTGTCAGACTTTTTCTGAAGAATGAAAACGAGCAGGCACACAAGTGAAAACTTTTGCGAGCCCTCTTGATGGTTTTATTTATTTTCTTGTTGACACACCCAACATTTTTATAGTAGGTAAGTGCTAAGGCTCTTAATGTTGTTCATGGAAAAACAAGTGAACTGCAAACCAGCAGCATTATTTAAAAGGAAAGATATGTAACTTTAGGAATGGAGAATCACAAGAAGGAAGGAACTAGTTAATTAAAATAAGAGAAAAATACAGCTTTATTTTTTTACTTGTCATTTTCTCTATGTTGTTGTTTTATTTTGCTTTTATTTTTTAATTGGTCATCTTCTCGTTTGAGGATTGGGGAGACGAGACAGTTGGGGGCCCAGTTGGTTCACGGGACTCTTATCGTTGCCACAGAAAAATCACGACTTTTTCACCTATTCTCAAGCCACAACTGAATTAGATAAAGTTGCCAATTTGCATGGTTATCCCATTCAAAACTTGCCTAAATGTGCTGCCAGCTTTGGTTGCATGTCACTTGTGACAAACATGTTATATCTGGGTGTAAAATTACACGGGAATCCTACGAACTGATATGTATTATTCAGTTTTTACAAATAATCTAAAAAATAGAAAATTACAATTAAACTGAAAAATAAATTACAACTGAAAAATAAATTAAAACTGAAAAAATAAAACTGAAAGATTAAAGTCGAGACGAGTAAAATTCTTTCTGCAAGAAGAATATGCCCCATGTGGCAGCTAACGGTTTAGGCGTAACTTCCTCAAAGATACAACGACAAACGTCTCTAAATCTGTAACACACCAGATTTACGAGCTCCGACGAACTGGAACGGAGTCGAGAATTGAGCACTAAAAAATAGGAATAAAAAATATCTCTCTTTTGTTATTTTGATAACAAATAATTATTTCTATATTTCTTTTCTAATATTTTTATCTCTCTATTTTTTCTTTCTCTCCCTATTTCTTCTCTCCTTTTCTGCTCACTTCTTTCGTATTATTTCCTCTCTTTTTCTGTGTCTTCTATCTCATCGGCTGAATATGCCTATTTATAGGCAGATTTTGATCAAGTGGCAGATTTCACACGTCTCAGCATAGCAATTTGACAACAAAGTAGGCATTTGGGACAGTTGGCCATTAACCAAAGGAATCTTCACGCTGAAAATTGCATGTGATGAGGAAAAGAACAATGCATGTGAGGAGGAAAAGAACATTAAAGTGGGCCCCTAGCTCACATGTTTTACACTCATTCTAATAATCCCTCACATGAGTGTAAATAAATGTATGCAATCTAGTGTGCTCAATCTTCACAAAACTCTATTGCATCGGAAAAGGTAACTTTTGGCTTTGAACCTTTCTTAGTAAACATCATCGGATGTACTGGCGACCTAGTGGACTTAATACCTTCAACTATTCCTCCATAGTGTACACCAAGACAATGACATTCACACAGTAGAGTCTTAACTCCATTCCGTTCTAACGTTGTGTCCGTTTTGGCCATGGACAACATAATGGATTCATAAATGTTTACATATGAAGCGGCCCACACTTCCCACTTATATAGGTGACCTCCCTATCAAGAGTATCCTATAATACTCCACCTTTACAAGGTTAGAGATTCATTAAAAGTCTATATGACTTACCCTCACCACAATCAACAGGTCATCTTGCACTTGAAGTGCTATAGGGAATAGCTTTGGACATTCATATGTTCCAAGTGCTCAACTAAATTTTCATAGCTTAGTTTTTCCTTTGAACCATGTTTGTGGGATCTCCACTCAGCATGGTAGGGTTACCACTATGATCATTCTTTACATTGTGGATTTTTAAGTCCATTCTCTCTAGCAAAACTCCCAATTGATCTCTATTCAATCCTTTCGTCAAAGGATCAACCAAATTTTCCTTAGACTTCATATAGTCAATTGAAATAATACCATTTGTGATCAATTGGCGTACGTTATTATGTCTGCGACGAATATGTCTAGACTTACCGTTATACAAGTTGCTTTGCGTTCTACCTATAGGAGCTTGGCTATCACAGTGAATCATCACAGGCGGCAAAGTCTTATCCCAACATGGAATATCAGATAAAAAATTTCTAAGCCACTCGGCTTCTTCACCAGCTTTATTTATCTAAAGCAATGAACTCCGATTCCATCGTTGACCGAGCTATACAAGTTTGTTTTGTGGATTTCCATGAAACTGCACCTACTCCAATACAGAAAACATATCCGCTAGTGGAGTGAGAATCTCTCGAATCTGATATCCAGCTTGCATCACAGTACCCTTCAAGTACGGCTGGATATCTCGAGTATTTTAGTCCGTATTCAAGGGTGTACCTCAAGTACTTAAGTACCCTTCTCAAAGCATTCCAGTGTTCATGACTGGGATTGCTCGTAAATCTGCTCAACTTATTCACCGGATAGGCCAAGTCTGGTCGTGTACAATTCGTCAAGTACATCAGACTCCCTATTATCCGTGAATATTCCAACTGAGCCATTGGTTGACCTTTATTAGCTACCAGATCTATACTAAGATCAAGGGGCGTCTTACACCTAGACTGTGCACCGTCATAGGCATCAAATTTCTTGAGCACTTTCTCTACATAATGAGATTGTGACAAGACAATTCCATCTTGGGTTCTGATAATTCTTATTCCAAGAATAACATCAGCCAAACCCATATCTTTCATGTCGAAATTTCTTTTCAACATTCTTTTCGTATCCATGATCACTTCATGGCTACTCCCCATGATCAACATATCGTCCACATATAGACATACAATCACAAATGTATTTCCTGTACTATTGACATAAACACATTTGTCACATTCGTTGATTTTGAAATCATTTGACAACATCACGTCATCAAGTTTCAAATGCCATTGTTTCGGAGCTTGTTTCAGTCTGTACAAGGATTTGACAATCTACACACCTTTTTCTCTTGTCCAGGTGCAACAAACTCTTCAAGTGGTTCCATGTATATTTCTTCTTCTAATTCACCATTCAAAAATGCCGTTTTGACATCCATTTGGTGAATATCAAGATTGTGCAAAGCAGCAATCAAGAAAAGCACTCTTATCGACGCTAAACGCGTAACAGGTGAATAGGTATCGGAGAAATCATACCCTTCCTTTTGTTTAAAGCCTTTGACCACCAACCGTGCTTTAAACATATCAATCGATCCATCAACTTTATATTTCTTCTTTAGGATCCATTTGCATCCTAAAGGTTTACAACCCTCAGGGAGATCAACCAACTCCTAAGTATGATTTTGCATAATGGACTCGATTTCGCTATTTACAGCTTCTTCCCAGAGTGGTCCATCTGGGCTGGACAGAGCTTCCTTAAGGGAACTCGGTTCATCGTCCAACATGTACGTAATAAAATCAGGTCCAAACGTTTTTGCCATTCTTACCCTTTTACTACGTCTCGGTTCTTCATCAGTACCATCTGGTACAGAACCACTAGCAGATTCATACGTTCGTTTATTAGAACTAGATTATGCCATTTCCTTCGAAGAAAAAATATTCTCAAAGAATATAGCATTCCTCGACCCAACAGATACCTCTGGATTTTCTGATTTATGAACCAAAAATCTATATGTTGTACTATTATACGCATATCCAATAAATACACAATCGACCGTCTTTGGTCCGTTTCTCATTTGCACTTTCAGGTATTTATAAGACGGCTTACGATTTTTCCACATTTCGTAAGGAGTCTTATCTTTCCCTTTAGGTGGTATTTTATTCAGGATATGATTTGCTGTTAAAACAGCTTCCCCCAACATGTTTTGGGGCAATCCTGAATTTATCAACATGGCATTCATCATTTCTTTTAACGTACTGTTCTTGCGTTCAGCAACATCGTTTGACTGTGGACAATAAGGGGCAGTCGTTTGATGAATTATGCCATATTCGGAACATATTTGTTCAAAAGGAGCTACATACTCCCCACCCCTATCACTTCGGATTATTTTAATCCTTTTGCTGAGTTGATTTTCAACTTCAGTCTTATAGATTTTACACGCTTCCACAGCCTCGTCTTTGCTTCTTAACAAATATAAGTAGCAAAATCTTGTGCAATCATCGATAAAAGTAATAAAATACTTTTTACCAGTTCTTGTTTGCACACTTTTCATATCACATACATCTGTATGGATCAAGCCTAATGGTTCAGTACTCCTTTCCATCGAGTAAAAAGGCAACTTAGCCGTTTTTGCTTCAATACAAATTTCAGATTTTGTATTTGTCTCAAATTTAGAATTAGGAATTAATTCTAAATTCATCAATCGTTTAATTGCATTTAGATTTACATGTCCCAATCTAATATGCCATAAATTAGAGCACTCAACGGTATAAACAGAAATAGGCTTTTCATTATCAACGGTTACACGGCTCTTGGCCATTACATTCATTTTGAACATACCCTTGTCAAGATAGCCATGACCAAGGAAAGTTCCAAACTTGCTAAGAACAAACTCTTTAGCATCAAATACCAGCCTAAATCCATGCTCAACAAGAAGAAATCCGGAGACCAAATTCTTGCAGATGTCTGGGACATGCAGAACATCCTTAAGCTTCAACTCCTTTCCAGAATTTAGCTTCAGCACCACAGTGCCCACTCCAGCCACATCAGTCATGGAAGAGTTTGCCATGTAAAGTTTCCGACTCTTAGCAGGAGTGTATTCAGAAAATATCTCCTTATCGGAACACTCATGATGAGTGGCACTAGTATCGATGTACCACTCCCTTGGGTTATCCACCATATTGGCTTCAAACACCACAGCCGACATATCAAAGTCGGTTAGTTCACCTGGCACAGGGCCGTGTTCAGCAACAGGGGCACTCGGTTGCCCTTTCTTTGGCCCAACCTTCTTTGGCCTCTTGCAGTCTTTTGCCATATGGTTTGGCTTTCCACAGTTCTAACAGGTACCAGTAAACTTCCAAACCTTGGCTGGCTGCTTCTCTTTGTCAAGGGATTTCCTCTTGCTCGAGTTGCCTTGCTCCAGCAAATTAGCATGAGCCTCCATCATCGGAGTCTTCGCCGATGAATTGCGATTGTCCTCCTCAATACGAAGACGAACTACCAGGTCTTCAAGACTCATTTCCTTCCTCTTATGTTTGAGGTAGTTCTTGAAGTCTTTCCAACCCGACGGCAACTTTTCAATCACAGCCGCAACTTGGAATGACTCGCTCAGAGACATTCCTTCATCATGGATATCGTGCAAGATAAGTTGAAACTCTGCAATTGGGACATGACGGTCTTTGAGTCGACCATCTTGAAGTCAAGAAACTTGCCGACGACGAATTTCTTCGCCCCGGCATCCTCAGTCTTGTACTTTTTCTTCAAAGTAGCCCAAAGCTCTTTGGCAGATCCAACCGAACTGTACACATTGTACAACTTATTACTAAGTCCGTTAAGGACATAGTTACGGCAAAGGTAATCACCTTTCCCCCAAGCCTCGTACGCAGTGCGTAGTTCAACATTGGTCTCATTTTCAACAATGACTGGAGGGTCGTCCTTCAGGTATTTTACCAAACCCAAAGTGGTCTGATAAAAATGTATCTTTTGTTGCCACCTTTTGAAATTAAGCCCGTTGAATTTTTCAGGCTTCTCAGCAGTAGGGACATAGACAACAGATACATGATTATGAACAATAGAGTTGACGGGATGCTGTTGTTGAGAACCTTCTCCGGTAGATGCCATCAGTTCAGTAGGTTGTGATATTCTATTTGCAAATTGTTATATCTGGGTGTAAAATTACACGGGAATCCTACGAATTGATATGTATTTTTCAGTTCTTACAATTAATCTAAAAAATAGAAAATCACAATTGAAATGAAAAATAAATTACAACTGAAAAATAAATTAAAACTTAAAAACAAAACTGAAAGATTAAAGCCGAAGCGAGTAAAACTCTTTCTGCAAGAAGAATACGCCCCGTGTGGCAGCTAACGGTTTAGGCGTAACTTCCCCAAAGATACAACGACAAACGTTTCAAAATCTGTAGCACACCAGATTTACGAGCTCCGGCGAACTGGAACAGAGTCGAAAATTGAGCACTAAAAAATAGGAATGAAAATATCTCTCTTTTGTTATTTTGATAACAAATAAATATTTCTTTTCTGATATTTTTATCTCTTTATTTTTTCTTTCTTTCCCTATTTCTTCTCTCCTTTTCTGCTCACTTCTTTTGTATTATTTCCTCTCTTTTTCTGTGCCTTCTATCTCATATATTGAATATGCCTATTTATAGGCAGATTTTGATCAAGTGACAGAACTTTCACGCGTCTCAGCATAGCAATTTGACAATAAAGTAGGCATTTGGGACAGTTGGCCATTAACCGAAGGAATCTTCACTCTGAAAATTGCATGTGATGAGGAAAAGAACAATGCTTGTGAGGAGGAAAAGAACATTAAAGTGGATCCCTAGCTCACATGTTTTACACTCATTCTAATAAAACATTGGTCTTGCTTTAGATTAGATGGCGTTGTTTGTAAGAATGTTTATTTGATCAGATTGATATCAGGATTTGCAATTAATAAATACTAGTATGATAGCCGTATACTATACGAGTACTTAAATATATTAATATTTATAAAAATAAAAAAATTAAAATAATCTATTTTTTATTGTAAAATTATGTATATTGAATATATAAAAATAATGAATAACTAACAAAGTAGTAAGTAATTCAAAATGGAGCTCGTATTTTTGTACTTAATTTTCTTAGTTTATTTAAAATTTATGAAAACAATGTATTAAAATGATTATTTTATGGTGTATTATAGAATTAGACTTTTATTATATTTATTATTAAACAATTTATATCGTATTTATATTTTTAAAATTATTTTTTTAATGAATTTAGTTTTATTTATAATGAAAGATGTCATTATTTTTTATTTTCTACATGCAATATATGGATGTCAAATCGAAGATCGTCAAAATATGATTATTTTGAGATATAATATACAAAAAATAAAATACAAATAAAAAAAATTCTAAAGTTTTTTAAAAAAAGAATGCATATTTATAACAATTATTATATGAATTAAATAAGAAAAAGTAATGACAGATTTAAGTATGGGAGACAATAAATTTATGGTAATGAAAGAGAGATTTATGAGAGGCAATAATATAAGCTGAAATAATTATTTATGGTTGATTCCAAGCCAATTTTGTTTCCAAAATTTTATCCGAACCTAAATACAAAACATGATATTTTGACACATATGATTCCAAAGTGTGCGAGCCTGCTACTCAACACGTTTTGAATTAATATATAAGGGGGAAGGGGATATCCCTGCTTAACCCAAAAATCTTTGTGTTTATAGTAATTCTAAAACAAGTTTTATTTTATTTTTTTGTCCCAGATTAAGAAATCAGAGACTAATTAATGTTACATTGGTACTCTCAACCTTTATAAACTTGCAAATAAAACCAAACTTTATAAACTTGCAAATCTATACACCACTTTGACTATTTTTTGCAACATAAGTCACGGGGCCCAATTTTGGGCTTTTTCAGCTGCCATGGCGTGATATTTAAGACTTGGAATACCTAGTTTTCAAAGTAGGTTCCACGTGGCAAGTTCATTCATACTTGGAAAAAATAAGTCAATGTGTCTGAAAAAACTTGGTTTTGTAATTTTGTGTTCGGAACCTGGGTTGCGGATTTTCTTTACAGGTTGTATTTGGGCTGCTAGGGCTCCCTTGGAGGGCACTGGTATGGGAGAAAAAATTGGGGGTCGCGTTACTGAGGGTGATCTGAGGGAGGATGTTCTTAGGAAGCTGCAAACATGCTCGTTGTCAGCTAAGGAAATTGGAGAAATTGAACTGCAGGTGAAGGATGTTAAAACTAGTGAAGAAGAATGTGAGCGGAGTCTGTTTGGGAAAATTGTCGGTGATCGTCCGGCGAGCATAATGGGGATCAAACGTACCATGAGTAGCATCTGGAAGCTGCAACAAGCGATGGAAGTGAAAGAGATAAGCTCTAACTTTTTCCAATTCATTTTCACTGCTCTGGAGGATAAGGCAAAAGTTGCAGCGGGTAACAATTGGTTATATGAAAATCAATATCTTATATTGACAGAATGGATACCTGGGCTTCATAGTTTCCATGAGTGTTTCAATGAGATTAATATATGGGTGCAAGTGATGAACGTCCCTCTTAACTGGATGAGAACGGAAGTGGGTATGTGCATAGGAAGGATATTTGATCGAGTTAAAAACGTTGTTATTTGTAAAGTGGGAGGAGAAATGGGGAGCTTCCTCAAAATTTTGGTTACATTGAATCTGAAAGAGCCGATTCCAAGATGCACGGTGGTTAAGCTGGGTGAGCAACGGGTGGTGGTGACTTTTCGTTATGAAAGACTTGTTAATCTATGTTATTATTGTGGGATGATTGGGCACCTGGATCGGGGATGTAAACGCAGATCGGAGGATATTGAAAAGGGCACACCTGTTGAAGGGCAATTTGGGGAATGGCTGAAAGCTAAGGAAACATATCATGGAGGGAGGAATTATCAGGCTAGCAGCTCAGAAGGCAAGAGTAATCCACCACAACAGCCTTCAAATCACGACTCTTTTGTGGCTACTAGTACTACACCCATAAAAAACAAACAACTTCAGACTGTAGCCACTGGGGAGCAGTCAAATCAGGTGAGGGGGTCAAATTTAGAGAGTATGAATCAGCCTGTTGCTTCTAAGGAGTTAGATATCATCCTATCTGGGGAAGAAGTTGGGCAGCATACTAATGTCATAGGAGAGGGAAATGTTGAAGTCTTAATAGAGATGGACAACCAAGAAGTGGCTACTACACCTACTGCGGAGAAGGGAATTACAAGTAAGCCAAAGGTAGCTGTTGGAGGAAAGGCTGGAGCTTCATGGAAGAGGAAGCATCACAATACAGGCAGATTACTGATAATGTCTGAGCAGCCTGCACATATTTCCCTGGCTATTGAGGTATCTCAAGGGAAGAAGACTATTAAGACATTGAAGAGAAACAGAGAGATTGTGATGTATGAGGGGGGTCTGCAGATTCTTGATCAAGAAGGCAAAGAGAAGAAGTTGAAAGCTGACAGTGATGAGTCTAAGGTGGAGAAGGCCAGCCTAAAGTGGCCCCGAGGTGACCAATGAAAGCTATGGTGTGGAACTGTAGAGGGCTGGGTGGGTCCTCTACAGTTTCCCAGATCAAGGACTCCAAAAGAGTTCACCACCCAAATATTATATTTTTATCAGAAACTAAAAAGTCCTGGGCCTTTACAAATACAGTGTGTAGAAAGTTGGGGTTTGAGAGTAGATGGTTTTTGGAAAATCCTAATGGTACTAGAGGAGGTATGTTGGTGATGTGGGATGTGAATATTGAGATCAGGCAGTTGTTGGCTAATAATTTCTGTGTGCAAGTGGAAGCCAAAGGAGCAGGTGTTAGAGAGTGGTGCTGGTTGATTTTTGTTTATATGAGCACAGATAGACATAAAAGGGAAAGGCAGTGGGAGTTTCTTGAGCACAACAAGCAGAATTGGGGTAGCTGCTGGGTGTTGGCTGGGGACTGGAATGATATATCTTGTAATGAGGAAAAGAGAGGGGGAGTGAGGAGACTTGAGTCCAGTTTCAGAGGTTTCAACTCTTTCATTGCAAATATGGGAATGAAGGAAATGGATCAAAAGGGAGCATTTTTTACTTGGGGTAATAATCGAGCTGGGGATGGTTATATTGAAGAGAGACTTGATAAGGTATTCATATCATATGAGTGGATGCTGACTTTCCCTAGGATGGAGGTTATTAATTTCTTTAGAACATCATCTGATCATAATGTGATGATATTTGATACTGATATGGAGAATGATAGAAGGAAGAAGAGATTTCAGTTTGATAGCTCTTGGGTAAAGTTGGAGGGAGTGAAAGAAGCAGTTCAGCTTGGGTGGCAAGTCTCTGTGGAAGGGTCTCAGATGTACCAAGTTCACCAAAAAATTAAGAGCACCAGAATGGCTTTGCTTACTTGGCACAAACCCATCAGCAGAAACAGTGATAAAATTATCAAGACTCTGACTCCTAGATTGGAAGATGAGGTTGAGAGGGCAGGAGAGGGACTGGGAGGAATGGGATTCCTTAAAGGCTGAACTAGATTGTGCTCATAAAGAGGAGGAGAAGTTCTGGAGATTAAAGTCCAGAGCCTTGTGGATGAAAGAGGGGGATAGAAACACCCGGTTTTTTCATGCTTATACTGCCCAAAGGAGGAAGATCAACTTGATCCAGAGACTTGTCACTAATACAGGGGTTGTGTGTGAGTCCCAGGAGACTATTGCAAATCACATGGTGGACTTCTACTCTTCTTTATTTACATCTGAAGGATCTGCAGGAGGTGAGGAGCTATTACAGCACATATCTCACTCAATAACTGAAGACAACAACAACAGACTTATTCAACCAATTCAAGAGATGGAGATTAAAGCTGCACTTTTCAAGATGGAGTCTGACAAAGCACCAGGGGATGATGGTATGACTGCCTCATTTTTTAAACATTTTTGGGATATTATCAAAGTGGATGTGTGTAATGCTGCTAAAAGCTTTTTCAGCTCTGGTACTTTACTAAAAAACTGGAAGCACACAGTGATAACTCTTATTCCAAAATGCTTGTATCCAGAATCCTTACGTAATTTCAGGCCTATCTCTCTTTGTGGTGTGCTGTATAAGATTGTTGCCAAAGTACTTGCTGAGAGACTGAAGTTGTGCCTTAATTTATGTATTAGCCCTGCTCAAACTGCATTTGTACCTGGGAGAAATCTGTTAGATAATGTTGTGATAGCCCATGAGGTTTTCCATTTTTTGCATAGACATAGGTCTGGGTCTCAAGCATTCATTGCTGTTAAATTAGACATGGAGAAGGCATACGATAGGGTGGAATGGGACAACATTATGAAAATTATGCAGAAAATGGGTTTCCATGGCACTTTCATTAAATGGATAATCAGTTGCATTTCTTTCCCAACTTTCTCTTTTAATCTGAATGGGATGAATTGTGGGTATGTGAGAGCTACTCGCGGAATCAGGCAGGGGGATCCCCTATCTCCTTATTTATTCATTTTGGTTTCAGAGGCTCTTTCTTCTGTTTTAAATCATGCTACCAGTGTTGGCCAGTTCAGGGGTATTAAGATTACAAGGGGTGGACCTATGCTCTCACATTTACTATTTGCAGATGATGCATTGGTTTTCTGTAAGGCAGATGAGTCTCATGCTTTGTTGTTATTGAATATTCTTCATAAATACCAATGTTTCACAGGGCAGAAGGTTAACTTGCATAAATCATCTATGTTTCTGAGCAAGAATTGTGAATCTGATATGGTGAGGAGAATCTGTTCTGTTCTGAGGGGTGTGGTGGTGAAAAGATCCTCGAGATACCTTGGTCTTCCATTAGGTATTGGTGCCTCAAAGAAGGAAGCTTTTCAGTTTGTGGAGGATTCAGTTATAGTGAGAATTGAAAGTTGGAAGAACAGTCTTTTGTCCACGGCTGGTAAGGAGATTTTGATCAAATCGGTTTTGCAGGCTCTTCCTATATTTGTTATGTCATGCTTTATGCTTCCTGTGGGATAGTGTAAGAACATTTGCAGATTATTTGCTAAATTTTGGTGGAGCAAAGGAGGATCCCAAGTTGATGGTGTGCATTGGAAATCCTGGGATAAAATGGCTGCTTCAAAACTTGAGGGAGGGCTGGGATTTTTGGATATAAGTCTCTTGAACAAAGCTCTTATTCTGAAACAATTGTGGAGACTTTTGGACCAACCTGAACTGCTGGTCAGCCAAGTTCTGAGAGGTAAGTATTTTCCTAATTGTTCTATATTTGACTGGACTCAATCAAGTAGTGATTCATGGCTGTGGAAATCCTGGGCTTCTCTACTGCCTGTTCTTAAGTCTCAGTTGAATATCATCATTAAAAATGGGGCTGGAACTAAGTTGAATGACCACAGTTGGGTTCCTGGTTTGCTTGGTAGAAAACCTGATTTCAGAATTCATATTGATAATCATCTGTTCTTGGTTAAGGACCTATTAATTGCAGGAGGTTGTAACTGGGATTCTAATCTGGTAAAAGCCCTATTTGTTGCTGAGGATGCTGACAAAATCCTGCAAATCAAGACTCTGAATCCAAGGAAATCTGATATGTGGAATTGTTCCTTTGTGGCTAATAAGAAATTTTCAGTCAAAAAAGCCTACTCATTTTTGGTTGCTGGGAACTCAAATGCAGTTGTTGTGGCTGAGAGTAGTATGTTGGCTGAGGGGAACAGGAAAGCTAGATCAAGATGTTGGAATCTCAAAGTGATGAACAAGGTGAAACACTTCATTTGGAAGTGTTTTACCAACATTCTACCTGTCTGTACAAACTTGATTTCAAGAGGGCTTCTCATTGATCCTTTCTGCAGAGTCTGTGGGGAAGCTGTTGAGTCACAAGAGCATGTTTTATTCCAGTGTCATAGAGCAGTGAAAGTGTGGCAGATTTCTCCTGTGCAGTGGAACAGAGTTCACCAAGAACAACTTACCTTCAAACAGTGGTGGTGGTGGATTAGTACCATGGATTTTAATGATACATCAGAAGAGAGAATTCAATTATCCACCTACATATTATGGTGGCTCTGGGAAGCAAGGAACATCTGGGTTTTTGAAGGCCATATGCAACCAGAGAGATGGATTATAAAGGCAGCTTTGAGAGACTGGAATGACTTTGCTTGCACCAACTCATGAGCATAAATGGTAGGAGCTGAACTGGAGCTAGGCTGTTTAGCAGTGGTTTCAGATTTAGTCCTTGGTTTGTGTATTTCATTTGGAGCAGTTGATAATATATGGGTCATTTGTACTGTTTGTTCATTCTGTATGTTGCTATGTCTTCGATTATGTAGTTTGTTTTCTTGAACTCTCATTTGGTTCGGCTAGGCTGCAAATGTATTTGCATGGCCTCTCAGTTACCCAGGCTGTATTTGAATATTTGTATCATTACCATTTTATGGTTTTAATAGAGAAGTTTATGTCGTTGGAAAAAAAAAATGTGGAAAACATATTTTCATCACAAAAATCAAGTTTAGAATCAAAAGTTTAAGCATTAAAAAAAAACTCGAAAAGTAGTAGAGACCAAAATAGAAAAATATTATGTCAATATGTCCGAAAAAACTTAGTTTCACACACAACACCAATATTTAATGTGAAAAACATACTTTCATTACAATAATCAAGTTTTGAAACAAAAATTTAAGCATTAAAAAAAGTCATGACAAATAGTAAATAGAGACTAAAATAGAAAAATATGTCAATATGCATGAAAAAACTTGGTTTCGAACACAACACCAACATTTAATATGGAAAACATATTTTCATGCAAAATTCAAGTTTTGAAACAAAAGTTTAAGTATTAAAAAAGTGATGAAAATTAGTAAATAGACACCAAAATAGAAAAATACGTCAATGTGCATGAAAAAACTTGGTTTCGAACATAACACCAACATTCAATGTGGAATACATATTTTTCTCGCAAAAAGCATGTTTTAAATTAAAAGTTTAAGCATTAAAAAAACCTTAAAAATTTGTAAATCGAGACAGACAAATAATAAAAAAGTCAATGTATCCGAAAAAACTTGATTTCACACACAACACTAACATTTAATGTTAAAAAATTATTTTCATCCGAAAAATCAAGTTTAGAAGCAAAAGTTCGAGCATACAAAAATAAAAAATAGTAAATAGAGACTAAAATAGAAAAAAAAATAAGTCAATGTGTCCGAAAAAACTAGCTTTCGAACACAATACCAACATTTAATGTGAAAAACATATTTTTATCGCAAAAGTCAAGTTTTGAAAATATAACGCCATGTTAGCTAAAAAAAGGCCAAAAATTGAGCTCGGTGACTCGAATTGCAAAAATTAGCAAAAGTGGTGTATATTGCATGTTTAAAAAGTTTGATTTTGTTTGCAAAAAAATCAAATATATAGATCGTGGTTTTTCTAGCAATTAGGCCTTTACAATAATATATGAAGTTAATGAGATTAGTTCATTCATCCATATATGCAAATCTTGATAAACAATATTAAATAATATTTATAAATTAAATATCTAGAGTAGAACTTACCATATATATTTGGTTGGAAATGCTATATGAAAATTAAAATAGCGAAAAACATGTCATTTGAAACCAAAACATGTCTACCTAAAATATTAAGGACACAATGTTATATATAATATGTGTAAAAATACCTACAATAATCTATATTATTATGTAAAATCATCTATGTTTTTCTAAATTATTCTTGAAAACTATGTCTAAATTAAACCACCCACATTGTTTTATGGTAATGTATTAAAATGGTTATATATGCATAGCAAAAATGTAAATTCTAATACATTTATATCAAAAGTTTTTGGGCATTTGGATTGATGATGTATTAAAATGTTCGTGTAAAATAGATCCAATTTTAAGATGTTAAGAGAGATATTATATCATTTTCAAACATAACCCATCCACCACGTTATACGAACAAAAGAGATAAAAATATAACAATTATCTCATATTCAAATTTAACTCATGTTATATGGAGAGATAAAACGATTCGAATTTAAATCATCTACCATGTTATATGTACGGTGTACCGAGAGATCATAAAAATATTTGTGTATCATAGATATTATCTCAAATTCAAATTTAATTTTCATTCGTGTAACATAGATATTATCTGATGTTTAAATTTATATCATCGTTATAGGAGAGATACTCATGTTCAAATTTAGAATAAAGTAGTATAGTGTTTTTTTTTTTTAAGTTTCAAATAAATAAATTTTGAAATATAACACCGCTCTATATTCCCGAATAAAAGTATTCAAATATTAGTATTTCAACATTGGTTATTTCCTGAATTTTAAGAAATACAAAAATGATATGTTCGGGAACAAGCTTAGCTCGAGTCGTTTAATAAACAAGTTCGATTAGATATTCGAGCTTGACTCGCTTAAGTAAATAAATATGTCGAACTTAAGGTTTCACAAGATGAATTGAGTTGTGCTCACGAATTGTCTCGCGTTTAAATAACTATTACACAAACATTTTTTTTTTCTTCAAAACTATTACACAAACATAAATAAATACATTTTGGCTTATCTGACTAGGACGGGAAAAGAAATAATTTATTAAAAAATAATAACGTTTCTCGAATTCTATTTTATGTTGCGTATATCATAAATAAACTAAAGTAAAACTTGGATTTCATAAAAATAATATAAAAAAAAAGAAATAAAATGTAAAACAAGCCTAGAATTTGACTTTGTGGTATCCATATTTAGGGTGCGGCAATGTCACCATTTTTTAATGTGAACCATTTGGAATGGTATTCAAAACAATATTTTTGCAAACATCGCTCTAAATGTAATGATATCTACTTTTCATATTCTTTAGAATAAAACTTGTGGAACTATATTGACAACGTGGTTTGGCAAACATTTATATGAGTTTTTTTGGTTTGGTGTGAGTAATTTGATTAAGTTTTTTTTTTCAAAACGATAGATGATATAAAAACCTCCAAAAGATTATAATCGATTGCCCACTGGCAATATTTAGCATCTTTGCATTGAACACACTAAACGCAAAGGAAAGAAGGCTCCTACAAGGAAATCCATCCCGAGCCACTCCCCAAAGGGAAAACAAGACTAAACACACTAAACACACAAACTTGCCCAAAGAAAAAACAAAGACACTCCCCAGGTGGGAGACAAAGACACTCCCAAAAGGAGACCAAGACACAACATCAAAAATAAAAACAAAAACAAAAAACACAACAAACTAGAACACCATACAACAAAAGCTACTAAAATAAACTAAACTAAAGCCCTCCTCTCCAATGGGACCAACTCCGAAACACCGCCACTCGAATCAACCCCAAGGCAGTCAAAACAAGGGATGTTCCACGGCCCACGGCCCAAGCATATCGAGAAACTCCCTTGACGGCTAACTCGACCAGAACCGACGGACCCAAAACCATCCTAGTTCAACACCACAGACGCCCTAGGAAACCCACGCCACTGCCCTCCCCCACCACAATATCCATCAGTCGCAGCTCGAAGCCACGCCCGTCGGAAGGACCTCTGTTCCAGCACCAGGAACAGCAGATCCGGGGAGAACCGCCGCGTCGACCTCACATCGGCGCCCAAAAACAATGCCCGTCAGAGTGATTTGATTAAGTTAATGCGTGATAAGTGGATAATATTTGCGGACAAAATTTAATTAGTAGTTCTTAAAATTAAATGCCCATATGTGAGTATTTAATGTCTGACAGAAATCATTAGAGAAACCTGAGATCATATTTAATAGCTAACAGAGCAACGCCGGCCTGTGCCTTAGAGCTAATGTACGACGAGTCAGGTAGTGCCATATTCAAGGATACTATAAATAGAGCAAAAATTTTAAAATTGGTCCTATAATTTGGCCACTGTCCAAAAAACCACCCCGATATTGACCACTTTCAATTTAGGTCCTATAATTTGTCGATTTCATCAATTTTGGTCCTTTTTTATCCGCACCCTGGATTAAAAAGTGACGTAGCATGAAAAAAGGACCAAAATTGATGAAATCGACAAATTATAGGACCAAAATTGATGTGCCACGTAGATCATAATCACTCCATGTAACATTAAAAAACTGACACGTCATGCCACGTCACTTTTTAATCCAGGGTGCAGATAAAAAGGACCAAACTGATGAAATCGACAAATTATAGGACCTAAATTGAAAGTGGTCAATATCGGAGTATTTTTTTGGACAGTGGTCAAGTTATAGGACCAATGTTGAAAATTTTGCCATATAAATAGGCAGCACATTTCATTTATTAAGGGTTGTTGAACATTCCACCAACTATTTCTCTCTCTATATTTACTCCCCCAAATCTGTAATAATTTCCCGTAAATACTCTAAGTGTAACGAAAGTGCCGACCTCAATATCAGAGGCTGACCTTGTGATTAGTATATAAAAGCCTAATTTTCTTGTATACCTTTCTTAATCCTTATTCTTATCATCACTAAAACTTTATTTAACCGTTAATCTGATCCAACCATCAACAGTATGTTTGACTAGTTGGCCAACCGAACTTTGTACATTTGAAGTTTCATGTTACTATCTTTTTNAAAAAAAAAAAAAAAAAAATACTTTCTCTATTTGGACGGTACGAGGAGAAGGTACAAATGTTTATGCGCAAGGGTCGAAGTCTTAAAAGCTAATAACACACGTAGCAAAAGCTTGCAACCCCTTTTCTTTTTTATTTTATTTTTTTCTGAAACGATAAACTTTATACCATAGAAAAAAAAAAGAAATTTTTGGTTCTAGGCCATACAAATGGAGGAGCTGGAACTCCTAAATAATGTAACACGAGAATGGTTGCACACGGTAAAGACAACACTTTGAAACCGTGGGCTAAGACCTAGCTCTGGCGTCTGCTACTTCCCCTTAAACCTATAGAGACAGTAGCACCAAAATTAGTTTGCCACTGAACCTTTCAAACAGGGTCTAGCAAACTAACAAAAGTCTACAAACCAACACAAAAAGGAAAAACAACAACCATGACAAAGTCTAATAATATTACATAAAATGGGTATCTAACCACTGAGTGAAGCAAATTCAGACCATTCCTTATATGCAAGACTAACTGTGTGAGCCTATGATCTCCAAGTGTTTTAAAATATCCAGAGTTTTTGAGTTTTCCACATTGAGTATCAATGGCCACTCCTTTTCAATTAAGGTTGATAAGGAGAAGTACAATGTTGTTGATGCATTTCCATAAACATGTAGGATATTGTTGATGCATTTCCATATAAAGAGCGTTAGTTTCCCAATCACTTTCAATGACCAATGCAACCCCCTTTCTTTTACCGCTATTTTCTTGAAAGCCCAAGAAGAAAAGGTAAAGAGGCAAAAAAAAAAAGGTCAGTTCTTTAATATTTTCTTGTGTATAAATTATGGGAACTGCAAATGGGTTTGGGCTACTGTAACAGCTACCGCTTTCATATCAGCGGTTTTCATTCTTTCTAGATTTGGTATTTGTGGGTAAGCATAGTTCTTTATCCCTCATTCACCTATCCCAATTATTCATGCTGCTAAAGAAAAATAACTTACTAGTATCAGAGTAAAATTTTTGTAACTTATTTCGAAAATACATATAAATTTTCGAAATCATTTAACTTAACTCGGGATGCTACTAAACTTATCTATTCTGAAAATCTGTTTTTCTTTAACTTGGTCTAAATACTAGTTTAGACATAAAGAAAACAGATATGTATAATCTAATCAAACTAGCATGTAACTCAACCAGACCTGTCTAGAGATCCGATAAAATCTGAAAACTAGCATGCAAGTTTGATTCTGAAAATAACGTCAGCGGAAATGTAAAGCGTGGCAAAAATATATACAAACTGAGTATATACAAAAGTCCACAAAACGGCTGCTGAGCCATATCCACGACCACCACCACAACATCTCAACTCACGCCTGCGGCCCGACCCGAACATCTGAAAAAAAACATAATAGTGGGGCGTGAGCACGAAGGTGCAAAATGCTCCGCAGAAAACCATACTAAAGTAAACAGCAATAATAATAACAATATCATGATTGTCAGTATATATAAACTGAAACTGAAACTGTACTGTTACTCAATCTCCCGGCAATCTGAAAACTCGCCGGTAACCGTGTGCACACTCTAGTGGAATATTAAGGCAACTAGCGGCCACCACCAGAACTTAGGGGAAAAACTCATGGCAACTAGCGGCCACCGCCCTAAGCGGATAAACTTAATATATATACATACCTCGGACAAGATATCAGATATTATACTCAATGTAACACCCAGTCTGGGCTCCCACCTGTACTTTTAAAAATGAAATGGCAGTGCTGAACTTGAAAATTGTCTCGTCAAACTGTATAAAAATATAAGCAATTAATATACTAAGTACTATGCTCAGAATACTCAATAAAATGTTATAATAAGTCCGGATTTAACTGATATAACTTGAACTGAACTGATTTTGGCTCGAAAATTACTAAAAATTCAGAATACTACTCGGACCGAACACCCGAACCCAAAAATGACTCGAATCGCCGGCCGAACCGGCCGGTTCACTCGCTAATTGGACCGGACTGGCTGAACCGGTCTAACTTGGACCATATATACTTGTAAATTTCAACTATGCACCAACTTAGCACATAAATCACTTAATTCGAATGAAACCGGGCCATAAACTTCATGATTTTTTTTTTGAAAAATCATACAAAATTTTAAAAATTCTGAAACTTGGTAGTTAAATAGTTAACATACTCAAGTGCTTGCTGTTCAAATTTCAGCTCAATAGCACTTCATTTGCTCATTCAACTCAAGTGCTAAACTTAACATATAATCATGCTAATTATACACATAAGTCAAAGAATTTTATAAAATCCCATACTTATCATATCAAGCTGAAACTTGGTCATCTTGATCATCACTCATACAAGAAATATTCATAAAAGTTTCACATCAAAAGCATGAGTGTAGACTGAGTTCTATTGCAACTAAGATCAACTTGACATGCTGGTAGTCTAACATTTGTATCTTGTTCATTTCTCATCATTTTGAGCTGAAACTGAACAGTCATACTCTTAACTTATATGTTAACATGTCATAAAAATTTCATGTTAATAGCATGTCTATGGACTGAGATATTCACATATTAAGTGGCAGCTGAAACAAGGTACTCGAAAATCACTTTGCACATTAAACTTCAAATAGTTGTAACTCGAGCTATACTTATTCAAATAACATGATTCTTTCATGAAAATGCTCAGCACAAGTACAAGAATTACATATGTTCAACTTACTTTACTGGTTTTGATCATAGCATGCACATAATCGAACTCAAACAGGACATATGCTTCATGTACATGAACGAAGAGCCCTTATACTTATTATAAATTTATGTTCACTTGAAAACTTGAACTTTCAGCTTATCCTAGCACATGTTAAAGCTCTATAACTCAGCTATGTAACAAGCTAATATTTGGGTTCTTACCTCTTCAATCACTAAGCAAAAGATCAAAGAAGATGGTGCTAGGGCTTCTTCTTGTGACAATTTCGTACGTTCACGAACTCGGTTGCTATTTTTCGGTTTTTCTCCTAACTTATAAGTGTTTTCTGCGGCGGTTCCAGCTCGTAATCCGGCGTCTTCTGCTCGTCGCGATTGGGTGGCTGTAGGTTAGTTTCCCTAACTTGATTTGGCTCTGTTTGGTGGATTGGGTAATTGGTGAATTTGGGGGTTAGGGTTCGACTTGGGTCCCTGCGATTTCTCCGTCGGGGCTGTCTGTCAGGGCCTGTTCGGCCCGTTTGGGTGTAGGGTTGGTGGTGCTGAGGGTGGGTGTGGTTTGGACCGCTTAGCCGGGGGTCGGATCCCTGCTGAGTAGTTGGCTGATGTGGCGAGAGGGCGATGGTGAGTTTGCGGTTGTGGAAGCGGGTCGGCGACGGTGGTGGTTGGGTGGGGCTCTGGTGGCTGCCGTGTGTCTCAAGTGGGGGTTGTCGGAGTTGGAGTTCGGGCAGGTAGCAACTATCCTGGTGCAGCTCGGTATGGGTTGCGTGGGATCCAGTTTTCTTGACATGGGCTAGTGGTGTTAGCCTAGTTAGGGTTATGCTGGTTGGGGTGGCTGAGCCTGTTCTCCTCGGTCAGTGAGTGCTGTCCTTTGGTTGGGTTCGGGGGCGGGGCCCTGCCTCTTGTTAGGCCTACGGCAGTTTCGGGGGTTGGGGCTTGGCTAGGGGCCCATCCTTTGGTCAGTTGTAGCTGTTTCTTCGGCTTCGTTGTTTCTCCGGGGGAGGGTCGTTTTTTAATTCTTCAGTGTGTTTGTAATGTGTGTTGTTTTTTCGATTTGTTGTCTTTTTTTGTTCGGTGTGTTTTTGTCTTTGTTTGGAAATGAATACAGGCTAGGCATTGTGCAGTGGCTCTGTTATTTATTTTCCTTTATTTTCGGTTGTGGAGTTCTCTAGGCCGCCATGTGCGTGTCCTCTCAGTTTTCTATTCCTGTTTTTTTTAGGAGTGTTTTTGGTTTGGGCCGTTGGCCCCTGTCTCATTACCCTGTTGGGGTCTTAGGATTACCTCGTTGGGGTCTTGTAATTTGTTCTCTTTGCACTTTTGTGCTTTTTATAGTACATCTATCGCCTAACTTACAAGTGTTTGCTGTGTTCAAAAGGTGAAAGACTTAATTTCCATCTGATTTTGAGGTCATATGGCCGTGGCTAAGGAGGTGGAAGGTGAACCCTTTAGGAAAATTGTGGTAAAAACAAGTGGCCATCTTTGACTTAGTCATGGCCTTATGTGTATTTCCTTCAATTTTCTAAGACTTCTTGGTATTTTTTTGGGACTTTGACCGAGATAAACTTAATATAGGTCAATAGTTTACCACTTAGACACGAAATTAAAGGGTTGGCGCGAGGAAGACGCGAACTGGTGCGAGAGCAACCGTACGCGGCATTTAATTTTGTGAACTTCTTAAAACAAAACCCTAACTTAGGTTAGAACTAATTGAAGACTTAATTTGATAACTAAGTACTTATGAAAATTTTAAGAAAAATACTACATAGGTTCGATTAGGGTTCAAGCTATACTCGACATTAGTTGAACCGAACTTGTTCAGTTTTCAATCGCGACTTAATCTCGACGATTTATTGAATATTCTCGACTTTGATTATCTCGTCGACTTAAAATAATTAATCCCGACTATTAATGTCCATTTATAAAAATAAACGGTTCAGAATTAATTACCAGAATTTGTTCAGTTACTGAATAAAAATAAAACCGAATCGATTTTCGACTTAAAGTCGAACTTATATCTGAATGACTTACTAGCTTGGCTCGGAAGTTTAAAACGAGTAATATTAATAAAAGTAAAAATAGTTCGAATTCGGAACTAAGAATATTACTTTATTAACAAAAGAACGGGATATTACAATCTACTCCCCTTAAATTATTTCCGTCCTCGGAAATATTAAAACTAAAATATATACAACTCAAAACTCAAAATATATACCAAGATACATAATTGTATATACACCTCAAAACTGAAAATCTGGAAATCGAGCCCTAATGTCAACTTCGCGCTCCCAAGTAGCGTCGGACTCTCCGTGGCGATTCCATTTGATACGAACGAGGGGAATGTCTAGATTCCTGAGCCGATGGACCTTTCGGTCCAATACTGCTACCGGCTGCTCCTCGTAGGTCAAATCTGGCTGAATCTGAATCTCGTTGTGCTGGAGCACATGATCGGGATCGCACACGTACTTTCGTAACATTGATACGTGAAAAACATTATGAACATTGGATAACTCGGGAGGCAAAGCTAAACGATAGGCTACCTCGCCCACTCGCTCGAGAACTTCGAACGGGCCTATGTAACGAGGATGTAACTTCCCTATTTTCCCGAATCGAACGACCCCTCGAAAAGGTCGAACTCTCAGGAAGACTTTATCTCCGACCTCGAATTGCATGTCTCGTCTATGTTCGTCGGCTGAGGACTTCTGCCAACTCTGAGCTGTCTTGAGCCTTTCTCGAATCAACTCGACTTGCTCAATTGTTTCCTCGATCATTTTTGGACCGAGTACTCGACGTTCACCAACATCGTCCCAATAAAGGGGCGATCGACACTTGCGGCCGTAAAGTGCTTCGTAAGGAGCCATCTGAATAGACGTCTGATAACTATTGTTATAGGCGAACTCGACTAAAGGTAACGACGACTCCCACTTGGCACTTCTGTCTAGAACTACAGCTCGGAGCATATCTTCGAGCGTCTGGATCGTCTTCTCGGATTGGCCGTCTGTCTCGGGATGGTAAGCCGAACTGAAATTTAACTGTGTGCCCATCGCCTCGTGTAAACTCTCCCAGAACCTGCTAGTAAATCTGGGATCTCGATCTGATATAATCGTAACAGGCACTCCATGGAGTCGAATGATCCCACGGGTATAGATTTCGGCCAACTTCTCCATTGACATGGTCATCGTCATGGGCATAAAGTGTGCAACTTTCGTCAATCTATCCACTACTACCCAAATCGCATCGTGATGTTCGGACGACTTAGGTAGCCCCGTAACAAAGTCCATCGTAACTTCCTCCCACTTCCACTTTGGAATCTCAAGTGGCTGTAGAAGGCCCAACGGACTCTTGTGCTCGGCTTTTACTTGCTGGCAGACCAAACACTTCTTTACAAAGTCGGCTACGTCATTCTTCATACCCCGCCACCAAAACGACCTTTTCAAGTCGTGGTACATCTTTGTGCTTCCGGGGTGAGCTAGATAAGGTGCGGCGTGTGCCTCGGTTAAGATCTCCTTGCGTAAGGCCTCGACTTTTGGTACGACAATCCGGCCTCTGAACTCCAAGGCACCATCTGTGCCTCGATAAAAGCCCTCAATTCCTCCGGCGCGAACTTTCGCCTCAATAGAACGAACAAAATGATCGTAAATCTGTTCCCGCCGAATTTTGTCTCGTAGTGTGGGCTGAACTAGCATCAAGCTAACACTCCCTGTGATCTCCGCAGGAAGTGACTCGACGACCTGAATCTGCATCCGGGCAAAATCTCGAATAAGTTGATCCTGCTAGTGATAGAACAGACCAACTCACCCTTCACTTTGCGGCTTAGGGCATCAGCTACGACGTTCGCTTTTCCCAGATGATACTGAATAGTGCAGTCATAATCCTTCACAAGCTCCAACCACCATCTCTGACGCATGTTGAGCTCTTTCTGTGTGAAGATGTACTGCAGACTCTTGTGATCGGTATAAATCTCACACCGACCTCCAAGTCGTGCGTAGGATAGTTATACTCATGTGGCTTCAACTGGCGTGAAGCATACGCTACAACTTGGTCGTCTTGCATAAGTACACATCCCAGACCTTGCCTCGAAGCATCACTATAGATGGTGAAACTCCGAGTAGGATCCGGAATAGTCAACACCGGTGCCGTCGTAAGCCTCTTCTTGAGTTCCTGGAAACTCGCCTCACAACGGCTAGTCCACTCGAACTTCACTGATTTCCTCGTCAATTGGGATAAAGGCATGGCAATCTTCGAAAATCCCTCTATAAATCTGCGATAGTAGCCTGCTAAACCGAGAAAACTACGAACCTCAGTTGGATTCTTTGGCGCTGACCAGTTTTGGATTGCGGCGATCTTTGATGGATCGACTTCGATGCCTCGCTCAGTAATAACGTGGCCGAGAAAAGCCACTCGCTTCAGCCAAAACTCGCATTTAGAAAATTTGGCATATAACTTCTCGCGTCTAAGGGTCCCTAGAACAACCCTCAGATGTTTTTTGTGCTCTTCTGGACTCTGAGAATAGACCAAAATGTCATCAATGAACACAATAACAAATTGATCTAAATAAGGATGAAATACACGGTTCATCAGGTCCATGAACACTGCTGGCGCATTGCTGAGACCAAACGACATAACCACGAACTCATAATGACCGTATCTCGTTCGGAATGCAGTCTTTGCAATATCAGACTCCTTGATCTTCAACTGGTGGTAACCTTAATGTAAATCAATCTTGAAAAATACAGAGGCACCTCTCAGCTGGTCGAACAAGTCGTCTATTCTGGGGAGTGGATATTTATTCTTCACTGTTAACCGGTTAAGATCCCGGTAATCAATACACATTCGCATGGATCCGTCCTTCTTCTTGACGAAAAGAATGGGCGCCCCCCAAGGTGATACACTCGGGCGAATAAACCCGAGTTTCAGCAACTCCTGGATTTGGGTCTTTAACTCCTGCAATTCCTTTGGGGCCATCCTGTAAGGTGCTTTGGATACTGGTCCGGCTCCTGGAATGAGATCAATAGAAAACTCCACCTGTCGGTTGGGGGCTCCTCCTGGTAATTGGTCCGGGAACACATCTACAAACTTACGAACAACAGGAAATTCATGAGGTGTCAGTGCTCTCGAATCTTCTTCAACAAGACTCACCAGGTAGCCTTGGCAATCTCCACGTCGCAAGATTTTTCTGGCTTTCGCCATGGAAATAATATGAGGTAAAGTGTGGGTCTTCGTGCCATAGAAAATAATAGATCTGTCCTCCGGAAGATGAAGAATCACCTCCCGGTCGCGACAACGAATATCTGCACGAAAACGTGTCAACCAGTCCATACCGAGAATGAGGTCAAAATCCCTCATCTCGATAACATAAACATCGGCCGTCAGAATTTGGCCGCCGATAGAAAGAATAAGATCTTCAGCCTTAGATCTCGTCACTATCTTCTTTCCTGAGGCTAAGCTCACCTCAAGAGAGTCGACAGTGCTGGTGGGTCGAACTCCTATAGCATCTAAACATCGGGCTGATACAAAAGAATGGGTCGCTCCAGTGTCGAATAAAGCGAAAACAGGTACACCATTAAGAATAATCATCCCAGACATAGTACCTGGATTCTGTTCTGCTTCGGCCTGCTCCACCGCATAAACATGAGCCTGCTGTTCCGCTCGCTTCGGCTGTTGGGACTGTCTCAGAGGCTGCTGTCGGGGTTGAAGTTGTGGTTGTTGCTGTGGCCGCTGCTGTTGTAATCGGTCTGGGCAGTATTGAATGGAATGACCGGGTCTCCGGCAATGATAGCAGACATTCTGTCCAGCAAGACACTCGCCACGGTGCATACGTCCACAGGTGTGACATGGTGAGAATTGTTGCCTGTTGGCTAAACCTGTTTGCCTTTGCCTGTCTCTCCGATCGTATTGGGGACCTCTCCACTTCCTCTTGCCCTTGTTTCTTATTTTTACTGGCTTTGGCCATGTGTTTTATCTCAGCATCACAAGGTGGGCCTTGTTTAGGTTTCTGAATACAAGCTTGATCTGAAATTTGTTCCCTGTGGGAAAAGAAGAGATCGAAGGTTGTCAAGATGGGTGAGAAGCATGAAGCTTTGGATGCTGTTCTTAAGGAAACTGTGGATTTGGTAACATATGGAATTTATGATTTTCTTGTTTGAGGTTTTTCTTCCAGAAGGGGTGTGTGTGAGAATGTTTTCCTGTCTCTCTTATTCTTCTTTCTCATTTTGTTTATATATTTTTCGGTTGATGCAGGAAAATATTCCCATTGAGGAAGTTTTTGAGAATTTGAGATGCACGAGAGAGGGTCTTTCAAGCGAGGGTGCTCAGGAGAGATTAACCGTTTTCTGACATACCAAACTTGAAGAGAAGAAGGTTCTCTTTATATACTAGAAATATGTTTTGTTTTTCTTCTTACTTTGTTTCCCTTTTTCTTTGCGCTCCTTTTATCGCTTGCTACTATTATTACCATGATGTAAACTTTAAGTATTTTTCGTTTCTTTTGTTCGGCAAAGAAAAAGGGAAACAAAGTAAGAAGAAAAATAAAACAAATATTTAGTATATAAAGAGAACCTTCTTCTCCTCAGGTTTGTTACGTCCAAAAACGGCTAATCTCTCCTGAGCACCCTCGCTTGAAAGACCCTCTCTCGTGCATTTCAAATTCTCAAAAACTTCCTCAATGGGAATGTTTTCCTGCATCAACCCAAAAATATATAAACAAAATGAGAAAGAAGAATAAGAGAGACAGAAAAACACTCTCACACACACCCCTTCTGGGATAAAAACCTGCAACAAGAAAATCATAAATTCCATATGTCAGATCCATTACCAAATCCACAGTTTCTTTAAGAACAACATCCAAAGCTTCAGGTTTCTCACTCATCTTGATAACCTATGATCTCTTGTTTTCACATAGGGAAAAAATTTCAGATCAAGCTTGTATTCAGAAACCCAAATAAGGCCCGCCTTGTACTGCTGAGATAAAAGACACGGCCAAAGCCAATAAAAATAAAAATAAAAAAACAAAAATGATTACTTTAGCAGCATGAATAATTAGGATAGGTCTGAATGAGGGATAGAGAACTATGCTTACCCACCAACACCAAATCTAGAAACAATAAAAACGCTGATATGAAAGCAGTAGCTGTTACAGTAGCCCAAACCCATTTGCAGTTCCTATAATTTATATACAAGATAATATTAATGAACTGACATTTTCTTTTGCCTCTTTACCTTTTCTTCAGCAAAAAGCGGTAAAAGAAAGGGGGTTGCATTGGTCATTGAAAGTGAAGGAGAAACTAAGGCATTTTATATGGAAATGCATCAACATCCTACCTATCTATGGACATGCATCACCAACATTCTACTTGTCCTTATCAACCTTAATTCACAAGTAGTGGCCATTGATACTCAATGTAAATTGTGTGAGGAAACTGAGAAATAAAAAAAGCATCTATGTTTAACTTCTACCAGAGGCCAGCTGATTTGGAAATTAGCTCCATTATCCTGGGAAGGACTGCAACAAGAAACATTCTGCTTCAAGCATTGGTGGTTCAAATTGTGCACTCTCAATCACACTACAATTGCTGAGAAAAGAATTCAACTAATCTGCTACTTGCTTTGGTAGATGTGGAAAACAGTTGGAGATCATAGGCTCACACAATTAGTCTTGCATATAAGGAATGGTCTGAATTTGCCTCACTCAGTAGTTAGATACCCATTATATCTAATATTATTAGACTTTGTCATGCTTGCTGTTTTTTCTTTTTTGTGTTGGTTTGTAGGTTTTTGTTAGTTTGCTAGGAACAAAAAGGGACAAAATTAGTTTGCCCCTTAAACCTATAGGTTTGCTAGGCCCCACTTCAAAGGTTCAGTGGCAAACTAATTAGTTTGCCACTGAACCTTTGAAACAGGGACAAAATTAGTTTGCCCCTTAAACCTATAGGTTTTTTCCTTTTTGCTAGGCCCTGTTTGAAAGGTTCAGTGGCAAACTAATTTTGGTGCTACTGTCTCTACAGGTTTAAGAGGAAGTAGCAGACGCCGGAGCTAGATCTTAGCCCATGGTTTCCAGGTGTTCTCTTTACCGTGTGCAACCATTCTCGTGTTAGATTATTTAGGAGTTCCAGCTCCTCCATTTGTATGGCCTAGAGCCAAAATTTTCTTCTTTTTCTATGGTATATGTTTGTCCCATTTTTTTTGTGTTTTTCGTCATTATTTTTCTTTTCTTTTTCCCCCATATTAGGTTTTTTAGTTGGTTTTTGGTTTGTTTTGTAGTTTATTTCGTGGTTTCTTCTATTTTGGGTTTTCTTGTGTTTTTCAGTATTTTTTCAGTTTTTCTCGTCTTTGGTGTGTAGGATGGAAGGTTCGGGAGGATTCAATTTCCATGATAATTGGACCAGGTGAACATGATTAAAGAGAGCATCTTGTTGGCATTACACAGGAAACAGCAGAATTGAATTCCGACACCAGACGAGCCCGAATGACTCCAAAACGTGAAGTCCCAGGTCCAGCCCCAGGTCTCCGTGCCCCGCGCCGCGCAGTGCTGCCTGGCACGACTTCGACTGAAGCTCCCTTCCCAGTATCTCGCGCCGTGCCCCTACCATGACCCGGACAGAAGATGCGCACAGGCTCCCAGCACGCCGCGCCCAAGTCCCGCGCCGCGGTGCATGCCACCTCCGCGCCGCGAGAGCCTTCCGCACTGTGGTGCTCCATCCTGTCGTGCCGTGAGACACCTATTAGTACCTCGTGCGGCCCTGTTCCTCACACCATGCCCGACTAGTATAAATAAGATTTTTGGACTCTCGATCACGAGCTCTCGACTCCAGAACTTAAAAACCCTACCCTCTCTTCTCTTCTCTCATTCTTTTCACTTTTCTTTCATCTCTTTCATCTTAAAACACAAATTGTTCGTGGATTTGAGTGGGATTTTCTTTATTGCTTTGGATTTAAGCCTGTTCATAAGATTCAACTTTAAGATTTTGTCAATCGTAAGATTTTCTTCTCATTTAACTTGATGAATATGAATTCTTGGGTTGATATGAATGCTTGTGTTGATTAAATTATGAATAGCTAAATCCATATGCTAGGGATAGGGGATTAATGTTTTGGATTTGGTTGTGATTGTGGTGTTCGTTGATTGCTCTTCTTATGCGAGTTGGACTTTTATTAGGGTTGTCAATTATCGTTCTGGGATATTGAGAATTGTTGAAAGGTGACACTTCAACTTAAAATTGTTTCAATTGAATTTGATATATACCTGCATGATGTTGGTGATTCTATTCGATTAGTCGGTTAACCACCCTCTAAATTATCTTAATCGACTCTTAGAACTGAAAGGGGAGGAGTCGGTCGAAATAGACTCGTATAAGCTAGGCTTGTTCGTAATTGTATTGCCTAGGTGTTAAAATGATTTGTTAATTTGTTGTTCAAGTTTGTTCTCTTGTTACGAAGAGTTATTGAGGATGAGTACTTGAACGTGCAGGTTATTCAAATCACTTAACTGAATAATCACTTGCCCATTAATTGCAAATCGAACCAAAACGGATATCCCCGACTCCCTAGCTCTTTACTTTTGCTTGTTCATCGTCTCTGCTTTTAAATTTTTATTTGCTTAATTTGAACTGTCATAGTTAATAATCAAACCAAATCATCTGAATTAGAATGTTTAGGAATTTTGTTTCTCTTTTTGTTTGAATAAACGTACAAAGTAATCCGGCTAACCTTCCTTGAGAGATCGACCGGGGAACGAATCTTTTGATTCGGTACTCGGTAAAAATATATTTTGCTACAACAAAATTGGCGTCGTTGCCGGGGAAGGTTTAAGACGTATTTTGTGCGCTTATTCACTTTATTTTATTTTTATTTTTAATTTATTTTATTTTCTTTTGTGTTTCTCTTTGTTTTTCCTATCGTGTCTAGATGTTAGTTCTCTCTTTGTTTTTTGTTTTCAGTTATTTTCTCTTGTTTACCATTGGTGCTTGTAACCTGTTTGTTGTTTGAGTGTATGCGTACCAGGAATGGACGTGTACTAGCACCGAACGACAAAACCAATCCCGAAAACTTCAGTGAGCTGTTTGACAAACTCAGCCTTGATTCATCCGAAACCAGCAAGCAAGAGATGGCTCAACAACCTACCCGTGATCTCCTCTGAGACCTGGCCCAACCCATAATCGAGCCGATTACATCATGCATTCGGTTGGAGCAAGCTACTAGGAACTACGAGCTGAAATTGGTCCACTACAATCAGCTCCCGTCCTTCCATGGCCTTCTGAATGAAGATCCACTCCACTTCATCCGGGAGTTTTTTAACGTCCTCCAGGCATTCTCTCTGCATGGGCTAATCGAGGACCAACTGAAGATGCGGTGTTTCCCAGAGACTCTGAAAGACGGATCCAAGGCGTGGTTCATGACCCTCGCACCGGATTCTCTCACCACCTGGGCAGAAGTATACTCCAAATTTGTTGGGAAGTACAATTCCCATCAGAAGGCCCAAGATATCCGGTCCCAGGTAGTCTCATTTGCTCAACTGCCGAACGAGCCTCTTCACGAGGCTTGGGAACGTTTCAAAGAGCTTCAGAGGCAGTGCCCCCACCACAACCTCTCTTCTGGGTTATTAGCGAATTGTTTTTACGACTCGCTCTACCAGAACTTGCAGTACATGGTGGATAATGCAGCCGGAGGGGACATTGGGCAAAAACGGCGGAGGAGATGATGGTGATATATGAGACGATGAGTGCTAACTCGTCTCAGAAGAGCATCTGAGGGAAAAGGTCCACAGTGAATGGGGTTGGACCGGGCAATAATGTCATGGCCCAACAGTTAGCCGAGCTCACGGAGCAGATGCGGGTACTGAATGCTAGGAGTTCCTCTCCGATTCAGACTATGGCCTGAATGTTTGCGGCACATGTGGAGTGCAAGGACACAGTTCGGACCTTCAGCTGTCAAACCGAGCTACAGAGTAAACGCATTGCAGGTTATCAGAACCGGCCAGGAAACGACCCCTACCCGAACACATACAACCCAGGGTGGCGAAACCACCCTCACTTATCATGGGCCAATAATCACAATCAACAGCCACCTCAAACCAACTTTTCCCCCAGTAGCAGCAACCCAGGGGAATGTTAAGGCTGCCAGCACCAGCCCAGGAAGCCGAACAAAGTCCGCCAAACTCAGATGAGAAGCTAGATAAGATCTTCCAGTATTTAGCCAACAACGAGAAACAGACCATGAACAATGAAGCCTCTATTAAGCTCCTCGATATGCAAATGGTGCAATTGGCTACACGTGTTGGAGGTATCGAGATCAAACTGAGTAAGGAAAAATTTCCAAGTCAGCCGGAGCATGTGAATGCA